GAGAGATTCGGCTTTACGAGGATCTCGAAACGACGAGAGAGCGAGGCGACGATTTGCAAATCGAAAACGACCACTCGATATATCGGCGAGTTTACTTACAGTTTAAGTCCTTCCTTTCTTCCTCCTTATATATATATATATACACCTCGTTCTTCTCCCCAGTGCGTGTGCGACTACCGTTCTCGAAGAGGAGATTTCTTTCTCTCAGCCGCTTCTGAAAACTGAGAAAAAAAAAAGAGGAACCGAGTTATTTATTTTTATTCGATTATTATTGTCGTGAGATTCTCTTCTCGTTTAATCCTCGATCCTTGAGCGGATCAATAACGAGTGTTGTTTTTCTATTTATCTTCTTTTTCGAAAGAAAATTTTTATATATGAAACATTTATAAATTAATTATTATTAATTATTAATCGTAATTATACTAAATGAAGAAATTATTTTTACATCGACGAATTCTCTGGATTCTATGCTAATGCTAATGCATCGAGGAGATTAGATACGGATCCTCGTTTTGTATACAAAATATAATGACAAATTTGTGGTGGAAAGAAAAATGTGTGAAAAATTCCTTTCATTAAATTAATTGATCAAACTTGCATTCAATTTTATAATACTATTACGTTACATTACATTACTATTATATTACATTTGTCAGAATCAAATCGTCGTAAATGATTTTTTAATAACATTAAAAATGCAACGAAACATAGGTGCACGCAAAAATTAAATTCCTTTAACTCTTGCTCCTCGAGTAATCGATCTATCGCGCGGTCTGTCATATTTGAAATTCAAAGTTGGCGCGCGCGGCTTGCGGCGCGCGGGAAAAAACGCGGCCAGAATTTGAATAACAGATACATTGAATTATTCTTTACCGGGACAAAAGATATATATATATATATATATATACAGAAAGAGAAGAAATCACATAATAACTGCGAGTCGTGCGGCCATGCATCGAGCGAGCGCATTAAGCATTTCTTCTCGGGGAAAAAAAGGGAATAAGAAAGGGGGGGAAAATTTTTTCTCCCGGTGCAACGAGAGTCGACCGCTCCAGAGGCGCGTGAGAGAGGAAGAAAAATGAAAAGGGAAAGAAAAAGTATCGATGGCGGAGAAGAGTTTACGGATCGGCTGAAATGTCAGAGGGCCAAGGGAACTCCATTTTAGCGAGCAACTAGACAACAGGCGAGACGGCGCCAACGAGATTTTCGCGAAAATTCAGCTTTCGCCCCAAAGCAAATACCGAACCCTGCGATATTTCACTTTGTACTTCACTTTGCGTGAAGATTTATTACAGAGACGGTTATATTTATTAAATTATTTTCAATCTCAGTTCGACCAAAAAATATATATCCTCGTCTTCTCATAAAAAAAAGATACGATTCAATGCACATCTAATCGTTTTTATTATCTCTATCCGAAATCGTCCTTACAAATTTCAATGTGACGATGAATAAATCGTGGGAATCTTTAAATTCGAACAATCTATCGGGCAAAAAATATTTCCATATTCAAAATTTGCGAGAAGGGGTGGTACGAATGCACGAACTATAAAAATCTCTTTTTCTCTTTCTCTCAAAAAAAAAAAAGAAAAAGAAAAGAAAAAAAGGAGAAAAGGCAAGGGAGAAGGGTAGAAGGACGAGGAGAAGGGTAGAGAAAAGTTGAAGAGAGCGAAGGGAGGTTGGGTGCTGGCGGCGTTATGGCGGGCGCCGGGGGTGGCGCCGCGACGCTTTGGCGCCTTCCAACGCCGAGACGCTCCGCTGATGTTGGCTCCATGTACCAACACATCTGAAACCCCTGGCGTCGATCCCTCCCCTCCACACCGATACATCTCCTACTCGAATCTAGCGTGGCCGCAATCACACCTCGAGATTCCATCTCTCACGTGTGTACACGTGCATTTTCTCCACCTTGCCTCCCCTATTCTCCTCCGCTTCTCCGCCTATCTTTTCGTAAGGCGAGTAAGAGTAAGACCAAGATTCGAAGGTGAAACAGTAGGGAACGGAAGCGGAATAAATTCTCGATTTTACGCCCCGAAAGGCCAGCCCCGTGGCGTCAAGGTCCCTCGATGGACCTCGTGGGGTGTGGCTGCCCAGTTTGACTTAACTTTTTTTTGCATAATCCCGTTCAAACGCGTGCCCCTTCGTTTCTTCGAGATCTTCGAGTTCGGAGCGGATTCGAAGATGATCGATACGATTAATTCGTCACACGAAACAAAAATTTTAACACCGATTCCCTTTCTCTATCTCTAAAAGTAAATAAAAATTGAACACGTGTACACAACTATCCTCGCCTGTTCATACAACAATTTACTCGAAATAATATCTATAAATTTTAAAACGCGGTCGTATTCGTCGTTGATGAGCGGAGAGAACGATTTCCACGCGTTGTAACGTTGTGAAAAAAGTAGAAAGGAGGGACAGAGAAAGAAAGAGAGGAGGGGAAAGGATGCACGGCCGATGGAACGACCGTGGCGAACGATATCGCGATAAACGCCCTCTTGGGCCGTCGTAAAAAAAGAAAGAGGACGCGCGCGCGACAGAGAAAGAGAGAGAGAGAGAGAAAGAGAGAAAGACAAGTAATATAATAAAGCTGTAACGCGTAATCTTATAATGGGCTTGTTGCACGCGGAATAATCTCGCAGAATCTAACCAGCTTGTAAATCCGATCAATCGGCACGCGTCTCGTTCCATCGATCCCTCTTCCCTCCCCCCCC